TACGTGGGTCTCCTCAAAAACACAGACTTCCCTGTAAGTCAGCATGCAGCTTGTCTGCCTGACATTGGGTAGTCTAATCACACAGGACACATACAAGATGGGAGCTATTAACTGTCATACCTACCACAGGGTAGATAGAGTAAGAAAAAAAATCTAGAAATTTCTTCATGGCACAAAGTGGATTTTGATCTCTGGTCTTGAGAATCAGACTTACAAAAGGCTGAGTCTATGAACCTCAGGTGAGCAAACAGAGGTATCCATTCAAAAAGCAGAGGGGCATTCAAGAATAGCTGACCGCCCGGATGCATGAAGGAAAAATAGGCTAGAGGAATTGTTCCTGTAATAATTCTTCATCATGGATTGATGATGACCCAGGAAGCCCCTTAGTCTTCTTCACCCAGTGACAACATGACTGGCCAATGCCACCTCTCGCAGGTAGAGACAATTCTCAACCCAATTCCAGGTCTCTGCACGCCCCAGGCAGTCAAAACACTGGTCCTTCCCCAAGTCTGCATCCTGTGGTTGTAGTTAACAATGTCACCCCCTCTTTAGGAAGAAAATATTTCCAGAGCAGCTATCACGTGACAGGCGCTCTTCCAGGCATTGTGAAGGAAGCCATTTGTAACGCAGACATGCTTGCAAACCTCAAGAAGCTTTTCCTTCTTGCTGAGGATTGAGCCCATAGTCTGCAAAGGCTAGGCAAGGGCTCTACCACTGAGTTACATCTCCAGCCCATGAGGACAGTCGAAGGCAAAGAAGAAATCCAGGCCTAATGGCAAACACCTAGAATCACACTTGAGGGGCTGAGGCAGCAGGATAAAGAAGAGTTCAAGACCATCCTTAGCTACATAGTGAGTTCAGTCCCAAAGTGGATGGCATGAGACCCTGCCTCAAAAGGAGAATGAAAGCAGAGCGGAAGTAGAAGAAGCAAGCCTATCAAGTGGCTATTATGATATTATAAACTGCTTATTTACTTAACAGCTACTTCAGAGTATCAGAGATAAGAGGAACTTGAAAACAAGAAAAAAACGTTTTATTAATTTTCCCAGGTTCCGTGCTGGGCACTGGGGCAGGCAGGGGTCTGTCTTTCTTCCACAGATAATAAAACAGCTCCTATAGACTGTGAGTGGAACTACTGTCCACTAGACAGGACCTAGAAAATCTAGGACGCTAGGCTCCCACCACACCTGTGAAAGATTATCTTGATCAGGTTAAGTGAGGTGGGAAGACTAACCCCCCACCCAAGTCGGTGTCACCATTCAAAGTGCTGGGACCCGAGACTGAACAAACTGGAGAAAACCAGCCCACCAAAAGCATTCACCTCTCACAACTTACTGTGGACGCGCTATGACCAGCTGCCTCAAGTTCCTGCCACCATCCACCGTGACCACAGGTGACTTCACCACTAAGGTGGATCTAACCCTCAAACTGTGATTCCCCAGCCAAACACTTCCTTAAGTTGCTCTCCAGGGTGTTTTATCAAGGCTCCAGGCACAGTAATCAAGGCAGGGCTTTATCTCTGAGCCATAAAACGCGAACTGTGCACCTGAGGCAGGAAGGTGGCAGACTGCAGAAGAACTGACCAGTCAAGGGCCAAGGCTATTTCAAAAGTGTCACAGCCTACGGGAGGGCAAGAGCCGACAGGAAGGATAGGGTCCCCTGGAGGAGCCATAAAGGCAGGGAAATGACAGAAAACTAGTCTCCTATTATTGGTTGACTTTCTTATTGCCCCAGTTGCCTCTGGCCTGGGTGCATGGAACCCAGATGCATGGCAAAGGCATGAGACAGGAGACACAGTGGAAGGGGCATTGACTTGCTGGCTCCATTTCCACACAAGGCAGCTTGGGAGAAGGCATGGCAACGTGCTGACAGACTGAAAGGGTCTGTGGTAACCCAGCATGGAACCCAGAAGCCCACTCGCCCAGGTTCATCCTCAGGCGCAAACCCAGAGCCCCAGTGCACAAGCATCTGGATCTCTAATTTTCTTGATTGTGAACACAGACAGTCGTGTGCAGTGAAGAGGCCACAGACCAGATGAGGGCTTAGAACTAAATATGCCACTTAGCCATGCAACCTCGCTTCACCACACTCATCTTCTCGTCTGGAAAATGAGACTGACAGTCATCACATCAGGCCAGTATTAGAGACTGGGGACCAAAACGAAGAAAGGAGGCCTTCTTAACTCAGGGTTCCTACAAGCTCAGGGCACATCACCAGTGTCATCTCTGCTCTGGTGAAGGCCTGGAGGATGGCACAAAAATAACGGGAGGGTCCACGGGAGAAAAATCACACCACTCAACAGGAAAATAGCCAGAGCCAATCAGGAGTCAGGTTCGCTTTTCCGTAACTACCCGATTAAGTTAGGTTTCAAAAAACTTCCTTCAAAGGACATTCCCTTAATGACCTAAAGAACAATCCACTAGGCCTCACCTCTAAAAGTCCCTCCATTCTGCACATACTTGGGAACCAAGCCTTCAACACTGAGTCTTCAACCACACCCAAGTCACAGCAATCAAATCTTAGGGAATCAATGTGGTAATCACATGAGCATACAGTAAGCATTCAAAACATTTAAATTACACTGCTACCTAGAAAGGACAGGAAGATAAACATTCTCTAGCCTCAGCCCGATGGCTACCTTCTAAGCCTTTCTACCTTTAACCCAAGCTAGTGACCAATCTCATTCCCGTGACCTACATTTGTAACACCCCAAGCCATGAGGCAACTCCAGCAAACTCCCACAACAAACTTCCACTGCCCCTCACTGGGCTCACCCTTAAGTTCTGTTTTCATATGCACCTTTAGACAAACAGATTTCTACCCAGGTTCTACCTTTACACAGGCAACAGCAAGAACCACTTTCTCCCCCGCCCCCCCCC